ATGTGAAAGCTGGACAATGAATAAGGAAGACCAAAAAACAGTTGATGCCTTTGTGTTGGCAAAGAATACTAAAAGTACCATGGACTGCCAGAACTAACAAATCTGTCCTGGAGGAAGTGCAGCAGGAATGCTCCTTGGAAGCGAGAATGGCGAGACTTCTTCTCACCTACTTTGGTCATGTTTTCAGAAGGGATCATTCCTTGGAGAACGAAATCATGCTTCTTAAAGTGGAGGGTCAGCAAAAGAGGGGAAAGCCCTCAATAAGATGGATTGACACAGTGGCTGCAATGATGGGCTCATGTATGGCAAGGACTGTGAGGCTGGCACAGGACAGGGCATTGTTTCATTCTGTTAAACATAAGGTCACTATGAGTCAGAGCCAACTCGATGGCACCTAACAACAACAACAACAACCCTGGAGCGTAGAGATGATAGAAGTATTTTTAAAATAATATGGTATTTTAAAAATATATATATGCAGATATCCTGCTACCTTTATTTGTATTACACTGTATACTCATATTTTAAATGCATAAGCACATAATTTTAATTGTTTTTACACAATTGTTGTTGGTGGTAGTACCTTATATTTTATGAGCAACAAGATGTAAGATACAACCAATTAAATCCTAATAAAAATCTAACTATTGGGTAGGTGTATGTGTACTACAATGATTTCTGAGGTACAGTTAGCTGAAGATGTTTTACTGAAATAAATATCTGGTCACAATCCTCAAAATGCCCTATCTATTTTTAAAACAAAATAAATAGCAAAAAAGAAATCTGGTAAGTGTAAGTTTACATATTCTGAGATGCACTAAATATACTATCTGGTGATCATACATTTGAAAAATTGTAATTTAAATACTAAACAATATTGTTTTTCATGAAATGGAATCATGTCATAATAATATGTAATTACTTTGTGGAAAATATTGCTTCCTAATGGTATGCTTTTGTTGGTTTATTCAAGAACAGCTACCAGCAAAGAATCTTGTCCTTTTGCAACACCACTAGCTCTGGTAACATAGTGGCTAAGACACTTGCCTGCTAATCAGACGGCTGGCGGTTCAAACCCACCAGCCACTCCTTGGAAGGAAGGTTGGGCAATCCTATTTCTGTAGTGATACTGCCTTGGAAACCCAAGGAGGGGTCACTATGAGTCGGGTTTGACTTGACGGCACATAACAACAACAACAAGTCCCCTGAAACACTGGGATTCTAGAAAGACACCTAGAAACACATACAGACTTGGTATTTAATTATGTGATATCAAAGGAAAAAAAAATAATTAGGACTTTATAGGAGTATGGGGTGGGGATAAGGAAAAGGAGTTCTAGACCTCATAAACTAGGACATATGCAAATGCTAAAACTATTTCATTTTTCTCTTTCAGGTACCATAAACGCTTGGGTTGTGATTTTTATTCTGCCTATCAACAGTGCTTTGAATCCAATTCTCTACACTCTGACTACGAGACCATTCAAAGAAATGATCCACCAAATTTGGTATAACTACAGACAAAGAAGGTGTATTGACAGCAAAGGTGGTCAGAAAATACATGCTCCATCGTTCATCTGGACGAATGACGGCCCCTACATGGAAACGTGGTCCCTACAACAGATGCCATCTAAGTTAATGAAGCCAACTCTTTTTGCAGACCCCTATGAAATGTCACTGATTTCTCAATCAAATAAACTCAATTCCTATTCATAAAAAAAAAAAAAAAATTGCATCAAATTAACTCCAACTCATAGCAACCCTTTAGGAAACAGTAGAACTGCCTCATAGGGTTTCTGATGCCGTATATCATCATGGAAGCACACTGCCACATCTTTCTCCTGCGGAGCAACTGATGGCTTTGAATCACTGACTTTTGGTTAGCAGCCTATTTATTCCTAAGGGACTCTGAAAACCATCTCTTCACAGGAATACTATGAGGTGCTTCCTCATGGGTCTACTGATATGATATGAATACCACAAAATTAATATAGTAATAACCAAGACAAAGTAGCTTACAAGGATGCAAGGTTGTTATTTGGGAAAAAATAAAAGTAACTGATGCTCATATCAAGAGAAATAAATTATATTGATAATGTGTATATAGTAGTACATATTTTACATGAAAAGTTATGAAAAATCTACTTCTGAAAAATTCATTCATTCTTTTAGCACACATTTGTTAAGCACCCACTATGGGTATGCACTACAATAACATCCTATAAGTAGATAGTACAGAAGTTTTTCAATTTGCAAAATTAAATTGTATTTAATTACAACAGAATATACAAATTCCATCTGCAACTCCTAGTATCAGGTAGAACTCTGTGTACCACGTGTAACAAGCATAAGAATCATATGCATTTTTCAATAAAGGTGTTTAAAATATGCATATTGAATACTCAATAGCATCAGAGAAAATGTATGATTATTTGCAAATTACAGAAATTGTTTTAAGAAGCCATCTCATCTCTTCAAGTCTCCATATGGAGACTTGGAGATGCAATGCAACGTATTTATTACTATCAAAAAAGATGCTTTGTTATAAATTCAAAAAAAAGCACTTCTATGTTATTTCTTGTCCAGTTGTCTTTCTGCTTTGAATGAGCACCATCATATGGGATTCCAATAGGAATGTACAAGTATTACAAACGAGGATAGACATATGTACATCAATGGAATATAATTGAGAGTCCTGAAATAAACCCTCACATTTACAGTTAATGGATTTTCAACAAGGGTGCCAAGATAATTAAATGGGGAAGGAACAGTTTTTTCAAAATATGGTCCTTAGACAAATGGATATCCACATGTAAATGAGTTTGACCCCTACCTTACACCATATACAAAAATTAAATCAAAATGTCCAAAGACCTAAATGTATAAACTAAAACTATAAAATTCTTAGGAGGAAACATAAGAGTAAATTTTGGGGATCTTGTATTAATTAGGTAAATGTTACTTATTTACATGTATTAATTAGGTAATGTTTTTGTTATATGCCGTCAAGTCAGACTCGACTCATAGCGACCCCTCCTTGGGTTTCTGAGGCAGTATCACTACGGAAGTAGATTGCCCAACCATCTTTCCGAAGAGTGGCTGATGGGTTTGAACTGCCAGCCTTCTGGTTAGCAGTCAAATGCCTTAGGCACTATGTTACTAGAGCTCCCTATTAATTAGGTAGGAGCTCTGGTAGCATAGTGGCTAAAGCACTTGACCGCTAACCAGAAGGCTGGCGGTTCAAACCCACCAGCCACTCCTCGGAAGGAAGGTTGGGCAATCCTACTTCCGTAGTGATACTGCCTCGGAAACCCAAGGAGGGGTCGCTATGAGTCGGGGCCGACTCGACGGCACATAACAACAACAACAACATTAATTAGGTAAATGGCTATGTAATTAATTAGGTAATATGGCTATGACACCAAAACCACAAGCAACAAAAGGAAAAATAGGCAAACTGGACATCTTTAAATTAAAATTTGGGCTTAACCTATAGAATGGGAGAAATTTTTGTAAATTTTGTACATCAAAATATCTGATAAAAGATGTGTATCTAGAATTTATAAAGAATTCTTCTATCTAATATTAAAAACATAAGTAAACAAATTATAAATAGGTAAAAGATCTGAATGGCATTTTTCCAAGAAGGAATACAAATGCCCAACAAGTACATGAAAAGATGCTCAACATCTTTAGTCATAATAGAAATGCAAATCATAGCCTGAGGGAGATATCATTTCATACTCACCGTTGTTGTTGTTGTTGTTGTTGTTGTTCCTAGGTGCCATAGAGTCTGTTCTTACTCACAGCAACAGTATGTACAACAGAATGAACCACTGCCTGGTCTTACGACATTTTCACAGTCCTTACTGTGCTTGAGCCCATCGTTACTGTCATGGTGTCAACCCATCTCATTGAGGGTCTTTCTCTTGTTCGCTGACCCTCTAATTCACCAAGCATGATAACCTTCTCCAGGGGCTGGTCTCTTCTGACAATATGACCAAAGTACTCAAGACAAAGTCTAGCTTTTCTCACTTCTAAGGACCATTCCTTAAATGTACTTCTTCCAATATAGATATGTTTGTTTTTCTGGCAGTCTATGGTATTTTTAGTATTCTTCACCAACACCACAATTCAGATGCATCAATTCTTCTTCAGTCTTCCTTATTCATTGTCCAGCTTTCACATACATATGAGGCTATTCAAAATACCATGGTTCGGATCAGGAGCAACTTAGTCTTCAAAGTGACATCTTTGCTCTTTAGTACTTTTAAGAGGTCTTTTGGTGTAGATTTGCCCAGTGTGGTAGATACAACCTCTGAATTCTTGACTGCTGCTTCCACAGGCATTGATTGTGGATCCAAGTAAAATGAAATCTATGACAACTTCAATCTTTTGTCCATTTATCATGATGTTGTTTATTGGTCCAGTTGTAAGGATTTTAGTTTTCTTTTTGTTGAAGTGTCATCCATACTGAAGTCTTTAATCTTCATCAGTGAGTGCTTCAAGTCCTGTTCATTTTCAGCAAGAAAGTATATATTGCATCTGCATATTGCATTGTTTTATGACTTTTGTATATGAATCTTGTTCCAGCCCTGATGCTGTATTCTTCTTCATATAGTCCAGCTTCTTGGATTATTTGCTCAGCATGCAAACTGAAAAAGTATGGTGAAATGACACAACCTTGATACACACCTTTCCTGATTTTAAACCATGCAGTATCCCTTTGTTCTGTCTGAACCACTGCCTCTTGGTCTATGTACAGATTCTTCAGGAGAACAATTTAGTGTTCTGAAATTCCCACTTTTTGCAATGTTATCCATAATTTGTTATGATCCACGTAGTTAAATGCCTTTGCATTGTAAATAAAGCACAGGTAAACATCTTTCTGGTATTCTTTGCTTTCAGCCAGGATACATTTGACATCAGCAATGATATCCCCCTTTCCATGCCCTCTTCTGAATCCGCCTTGAATTTCTGGCAGTTTCTTGTTAATATACTGCTGCAATTTTTTATTTTAAATTATCTTCAGCAAAATTTTACTTGCAAGTGACATTAATGATATTGTTGAATAATTTCCACTTTCAATTGGATCACCTTTCTTTGGATTGGGTACAAATATGGGTCTTTTCTAGTCAGTTGGCCAAGTAGCTGTGTTCCAAATTTCCTAGCATAAATGATTGAGAACCTCCAGTATTGCATCTGTGTGTTGAAACATCTCAATGGGTATTCCATGAATTCTTGGAGCCTTGTTCTTTGCCAGTTCCTTCAAGACAGCTTGGATTTCTCCCTTCAGTACTGTTGGTTCTTGATCATATGCTACCTCCTGAAATGGTTAAATACAGACCAATTTTTTTGGTACACTGACTGTGTATTCCTTCCATCTTCTTTTGATGCTTCCAGCCTTGTTCAATATTTTGTCTTGTCTTTTTAATGAACTTTTTTCTTCATGTCTGGTATTCTTGGTGTCATCCACAACTTGTCTGTCTTTGGTCATTGCTGTTCAGTGAGTCAAATCTATTCTTCAGATGGCCTCTAAATTCCAGTGGGATACAATCAAGGTCATATTTTGGTTCTTGCAGGGTTGTTTTAATCTTCTTCTGCTTCAACTTAAACAGCAATTGATGATCTGTTCCACAGTCAGTTCCTGACCTTGTTCTGACTGATGATGTTGAGTTTCTCCATTGTCTCTTTCCACAGACATAGTCGGTTTGATTCCTGTGAATTGTATCTGGCCAGATCCACGAGTATAGTTACATTTGTTTTGTTCAAAAATGGTATTTGCAATGACTAAGTCATTGGTCTTGCAAAATTCTATTATGGGGTCTCTGGTGTCAGTACTATCACTGAGGCCATATTTTCCAAGTACCGATGCTTCTTCTTTGTTTCCAAATTTTGCATTCCAATCACCAGTAATTATCAGAACGTCTGGGCTGAATGTTTGGTCAATTTCAGACTGGAGAAGTTGGTAAAAATCTTCAATTTCTTCAGCTTTGGCTTTAGGAGTTCATGCATAAATTTGACTAATAGTCGTTGAATAATTGGTCTTCTTTGTAGACGTATGGATATTATCCAACCACTGACAGTGTTATATTTCAGGATAGATCTTGAAGTACTCTGCTGGTATTTAAAATACTGGTGGCAAGGTTATGGCCCCTAGTTGCCCTTTAGGTCTGGAATTAAATCCACTCCTGTGGCTTTCAGCCAAAAAAAGACAAGCATATCAGCTGAATGTTTACAATAGGTGGATACACTCCTTGGAGAGATCAGTCATGGGAGAATGGAAGGGCTGTGTATGCACAGGGAAATAGGTTGGGGGACAGAAGTGCATGGAGAGGAGGGACACAGGGAGGAGGTGGCCATGGGGGAGAAGTGGGAGGGGAGCTATTGCATTGTGGTGAATTGTGGTCAATGTTGTGGGACAGGGTATGTGTGAGCTGTTGTATGGAAAGTGAATTTGCTCTGTGGATTTTCATCCAAATCGCAATGAAAAATAAATAATAATAAGTTAAAATACTAGTGTCATGGCTTCCAGCATCACAGCAACATGCAACCACCACAGTATGACAAACTGATGGATGAGCAATGGTCATACCCACTAGCATAGCTATAATAAAAAAGACAAATAATATCACGTTTTGGGCTTAAACTGAAGTTCAAATTCTTATACATTTTCAGTGAAGTGTTAAATGGCACAGCTATTTTAGAAAACGAGC